GAGAGAGAGAGAGAGAGAAATACATATACTATATATAGAAATAGCGACACAGAGGGAGATGTAGAGACAGAACGAGAGAGACAGATATAGAGACATAGTAGAAGAGAGGGAGAGAGACAGAGAGAGAGAGAGAGAACATAATATATTTAGAGAGAGAGAGAGAGAGAGAGAGAGAGAGAGAGAGAGAGAAACAGTACAGACAAAATACACACATAGCGAAAGTCAGATAGAGCGAGAGACAGAAACAACGAGAGAGAATGAGAGAGAGAGAGAGAGATGAACGCACCCGCAACGCCCGCGCGAAGTGTGGCTTCCTGGCCAGGGGAGGTTCTGCCTCTCGGCTCCTCCTTTTCATCTTCTTCCTCTTCCTCATTCTCCATCTCCTCCTCCCCTGTCCTCCTCTGCTCCTCCTCTGCTCCTCCCTGCTCGTCCCTCGTCCTCCGTCCTCCCTCCTCCTCCGTCCTCCCTCCCCCTCGTCCTCCTCCTCCTCCTGCTCCTCATCACCATTTCCACCTCGGCTTCTCCGTCCTCTTCCTCACGCCCCAGTGCCAGGCGCTCCCCGCTCGCGGCATGCCTGCATGGGCGGCCGGGTGCGGCAGGGCGCACGCCGGCCGTGGACCCCGAGGGGAGGGATGACATCACCGACTGCACGCAAGAGTGTCGGGGATGGACAGACCTCCCTTTAGTAAAACGTGGTTTAGTGAAAACCACCTGAGGCCCAAACCTGGCGGGCGCAGGCCTGGAAAATAACGGCCACGGCGCCCTCTCGAGAGCCGAAAACGGACAATTCACTAATCGACGTGTCACTGTTGGGGGTTCTGTCCACCCCCGAGAGTGACCCCAGGTAAGAGTAAATTTTGGTGCGCGGCTTTGGGGGGACCGCGGGGGGGACAAACCCAAGCGCGCAAGACGCTACCATCGCAGCGCGTTCGGCGACCGGATGACCCCATTGTGCCCGCACCAAAGGTCACTCCGGCGACAGGTCACTCTTACGTCTCGTCGACGGTTTCGTGGTTGCACTGCCCGGATCTTGGCTCCCGGTGCTCAGTGCAGCGCGGTGCCGGGTGTTCTTGTGGCCTCATCGCCTGGACGATATGAAGTACGCGTAAGGCTCGCGGGCTCGTCTCGTTCTGGTGGCGTCCACTGGAGGCCGTCTGTGGCAGGCTGCGGGGGATCCCACCAGCCCTCTGGGCTGAGGTGGTCCGAGGCGCTTCCTCTTTCGACCCCCTTCGGGGCTTCGCGAAGGGTTAGGCAGCGCAAGACGGCCCCACGAGGGCCCAAGAGAATCCAAGATGACCTGTAAGATCGACCACGATATCCCAAGATGCATTTAGATGGCTGCCACGATGCTTCCAAAAAGCCCAGATTCCGCCCTATGGCGGCTCCAAGCAGCCACGTGTCTTTCGAAGGAGACAAGATCCTTCCCAAACCTGGGGACACACCACTGCGCTCTGCCTTCTCACCTTTTCGCCTCCGATAGGCTTCGTGGGCCCCAGAATGACTCCCATATGGCCACAAGGGGCGCCAACGTGGGCCCACGAGGGCTCCAAGACGGTCTCAGGAGTGCCCATGAGTGACCCCAGAGAGATCTACGAGAAGCGACTTTTCGGACTCCAGACGGGGGCGACGCTGTTAGGGGGCTCCACCACTTCACTTTATGAACCAGCATAACTGAACAACCTACTGCTTTAACGGTTTTTGACGTTTCGGACGCATCTTGGGGAGGCTTTCGGGCCAGCGTGGCTCCAATATGGCTCAAGATACACATCAAGATGGCCCCATCTTTCCCCCCCGCGGAACACAATCTCCTACCAGCTTGCATCTCAAGCGCCAGCTGGCACTGCGAATCACATCGCATTGCCTTAAAACTCGTGGGATGCAGCCAGGACAAGGAGAAGCGGGACAAGGAATAGGACAGCAACGGAGGCAGGAAACACATGGCGCAAGGTGTTCGACGATTGCTCCATATACCCTTCAAGGTGCCTCCAATAGGCCGCAATACCGCACCAATACAGCTCCAATTGCACACGGAGCCTGCCAGGGCCTCCCCCCAGAGGTCCAAGTTCTTCCAGCACGCAAAGTAAATCAGCGATTTTGGCCTTCTCGCCGTTTCGCTCCTCCTGGGCTTTTGAGGCCTGAGGGTGACTCCAAGATGGTCCACGAGCGCCCCAAGAGGAGCCCCAAAAGGCTCCGACGTGGCGTAAAAGCGCACAAGAGCGCCCCGAGAGGGCTCCAACATACGAGGGGCTCCAGAGGGAAAGCGCTGTCAGGGGACCCCCCTCCTCCTCCTCCTGCTGCTCCCCCCTCCCCATGAGGTCCGACGTCGCGAACAATGTCAGCGTGGTAGGAAATCGAGACTAAAGACCCAGACCCTATTTTTTGTGGCATCTTTCCAATCGGATCGCGCGAAGAGGACAGACCCGAAGCTGGCCCGCAAAACACCAAAGTGCGAACATAATTGCGACGCCAGGCCACTCCCAGGCCCCCGTCGTCATGCTTT